CACACACACAATCTCCTATCGCCGGGTGGCTAATCATTTGCAGGATAGTTCACACTCAACACATATGTTCCTGCTCCAGTTTGGACAACAAGCCTTACTGGAACAAAGTTCGTGGCTTTAATTAGATAGCGGAATGGAAGTAGTTGTGACAGGTTGTACAAAGGCATATTTACTTTGATTACAATTAACAAATAAAACAAGTAGACTAGGTAGCTGGATACTAGATACACTGCTGGCGCAGCAGAGATAAAGAGAAGATTTAAACGTATACGTATCTTCTTGCAATGGCTTTATTCCACTGTAATGACTCCGAAAATCTTCCCTTTCCGAACACATAGAATTTCACTGGATGACCTGTTTATCGTAATGCTGTGCTACGCTACTGTAGAACCTTCCTGCTGATATGCTTATTCAGGAAATATATCTTCGTTATCCTGTCTTTGAACTTTCATCAAGTTTCGCCAATACTGATGTTCTCATAAAGTGATGTTCAATCCAGGAGTCACCACACTATTGTTCATAAGGTGCAGAAGCGTTGCAAAGTCGCAGCGAGGAACAGCAATGATAGACTATCAAGGCAGAATATACACGGGGCAAACCAACTACAAATGACTTCAATGAACGTTGTCTAGAAGAAAGATTTTCTGCCTATGGAAGGATTCGGATGCCTTCAGTACTTATTCCATAGAGAAGCACAATAAAGACCGAAGTTCTCAACTCTCTATTGAATGAACTACGTCTGAACTGAACCGGTGTTAGCCAAATAGTTCAAATTTTCTGGTGCGATGGGTTTTGGCAGGTGTCGATACTAGAAAGTTTCATCAGCCTAAAGAAACGTTCCAGGTAACGGAAGCAACGTTTACATGAGGGTATAGTAACAACCTCCATGTCACTTCAAGCTTTTATCTGCAACAATAACGAACTTGCTTTATTTGACCCTGACTATAGTTCGTGTTGCAAGGGCCGAACCGTTGCGGGAAACACAAATAAGGTTAATGATATCAACCTCTGCCACGAAGAAAGACAAAACGTCAAAAGAAAAGATGTTTGACGAACGCGACCCAGAATCCAGCTCAGTTCTCATCATTAAGTTGAAACGTCCAGCGGCATTCTCATATACATGGTGGAAAGCATAAACTGACCGCAAATTCTGACTTCAGTCTATTCGGCGTTTAGCACGTTCGGCGGTTTAACGTACTCTCGTCCTCTTCTCTAAAGCCTGGACCGTTCACTGGACACAGATATCTTTACTTTACAAATACAACAAAATGAACTGTTGATTAAACAAGAGGGAATAAGTACCGAACACGTTTGATGCACTATGTTCTTTCTCCGGATCTACACGGTACCGATCGCACTCACCTCTTGCTTCTAGAGATCTAAGGACTTTCAAGCAGATTGCAGTTACAAGGTATAACAGCACCTGTTGCATACTGACCATAATTACCACATTCATTTTCACAATCTGCTGATCTTGACGGATCACGGAACAGCGCCGGTAAATTTTTCTGATAATCGGTCCTCCGCTAAGCGGGCTAGCGATACAAACGCGATTCAGCGACGCAACGAGCCGCATTCAGTAGACTGGGTCATCGGAGACTCTTAAACAGCCCGCCGGTCGCCTTTTATGAAATTTCACTTAAACAGTCTGCACTGAAAACCTCATCTCACCTCTGGAATCCTGATCATTGCTCCAAGCCATCGCAATTACAACAATTATGTA